GAAAAGGTAATTTAATTTAAATATGGGGCTTTTATTACATTTTTAACAATAAATAAACCAAATATTGAACAAATTTTATAGATAAATTATAAAAATTTACTTTTATAATAAATAATTAATTATTACATAATGAATTATATTTTGGTGCCGAAATTTCACCATTGCTATTAACCCTAACTACTTCAATGTAATTAAATCACATTACAACATTTGCGCATGGACCATAACAAGATTTCAGATAATTAGCCAAACAATTTCGCTCAGTGTAGAAAATAAGCATGTTTTCTCAGCGTGCTAAGTTGTGTATCAATCAAAGTCATGCTGTGAAAAAGGTACATCCGATATCAAAGGCACCGACAGCTACTGTCGCTTCTCCTTGATCGTTATTCTCGGTTACTACCTTAGTTAGGGACATTTTAATTAGTTGGTAATACATGATGTGCAACGAAATTTGTAATAAAAATACTATAATCATTTTATTTGTTAATAATCTTTGTAGTCCAGGTCCAAATCTATAAAATATTAAAATAAAAAGCATCAAATTTTTACAGAAGGAAAAAAATATTTATGCCAAAAATTTTTAGTTTCATTTAAAAGGTTCTATTTTATTAAGTGTTCTTGTCAAGTTATTGTTATAAAACATTTAAACTGCTTTGACGCCCACTTTGTGCAGCCGTTGATCCCAGCGAATCTGGCGATAGTCTGTTAAATAGTGTCCCTCAGAATATCCTGATAAAGCTATCTGTTTCCCGTTTACCAAGAAGCATTTATATTGTTTCTTAGTACTTTATTCTAGATTCTTTGTAATATGTACAGGGTTATTCATTATAAATTACCCACCCCTTATTATCGTTATTATTGTCTATAGAAAAAAAAGTTTCAAATAAAAGTTGTGTGGTAATAACTGAATTTTGTTAAAATGCTATCAACTATACAGTGGCGTGCGGATTTAAAGGGATACAAAAATATAATATATTTTTTTAATGGGACACCCTGTATATTATTACATTTTTGCATTTGTCATTTTTTTCTGATTTCAAAAATATATAATATGTCGAATATCTTAGGTAACTTGTTACTGCAAATATAAAAAAGTTATCATTATTAAAGTAGGCTATGAAAGTGAAGCAGTATATCTAGCTGCTCTTCCTGGTTTGCTTAAACTACACGCTTTTTTCTACTAAACCTGGAGGTGTGATTTACCTTTAGATAAATATTTTTGAACGTATTTTCTGATGGTGTTGGAAGATTTGGATACAATAATATGCTCTTTTTCTTGCACGTTTATTTTTGGTATTTTGCATATAACAAGTAAATATTTGGACTTTTTCTTCCTCACTGTAAACCATTTTGATTATTTCAAACATAATAGTAGTCATTTTCATAGCCTACTTTAATATAATAAGAACTTTTTCATATTTGCAGTAACTAGTTACACAAGATCTTCGACGTATGATAACTCAAAAACGGTATGAGGTACGGGTAATATATTATATATTTTTGAAATCAGAAAAAAATAACAAATCAATAAAATACGTTCAAAAATATTTATCTAAAGGTGAATCACACCTCCAGTTTTAGTAGAAAAAAGCGTGTAGTTCAAGCAAACCAGGAAGAGCAGCTAGATATACTGCTTCACTTTCATAGCTTACTTTAATAATGATAACTTTTTCATATTTGCAGTAACAAGTTACCTAAGATATTCGACATATTATATATTTTTGAAATCAGAAAAAAATGACAAATCCAAAAATGTAATAATATACAGGGTGTCCCATTAAAAAAATATATTATATTTTTGTATCCCTTTAAATCCACACGCCACTGTATAGTTGATAGCATTTTAACAAAATTCAGTTATTACCACACAACTTTTATTTGAAACTTTTTTTTCTATAGACAATAATAACGATAATAAGGGGTGGGTAATTTATAATGAATAACCCTGTACTTTCTGGTTTGGGGACTTGTTTTAAACTTAATAATTTTTGTAATATATATAGCTAGGTTGGAATTTCTACTGAGTGATTTCGTTTAATTCACAGTATAATTCATTTTGTTATTCTCTGAAATATGTATCTGAATTTTATGCATATAATAGCTCAGAATATGGCATTTCTAGTTTATATTTTAAGCATTATCAAAAGCCTGCCCACTATCAAAGAAGATGACTGGGCAGACCTTCTTGTTTTTTATAAAGCCTTTTAGTAATATTTTAAATATTATAAACCTGATCTATAGTTAGAATTTTAATTGAATTTAAAAAGAGCAGAAAAAATAATTTATGGTGATTATTATAGTGCTTAAACTTTTGCTGGTAAACATTTATAAGTAAATCTAATTTAGAGTTTTTGTACTAAGCAATAAATAACTCTTTATGATGTTTCTTGCTATGACCGAGGGCCCCTTGTGGCCGTCGAGTTCTCCATCTAAGACTATTGGTGGCTTATTTGATTTTATATTAGTATGTGGTTCGTCTTTTTCTTTTTCTTTTTCTTTTTCTTTTTCTTTTTCTTTTTCTTTTTCTTTTTCTTTTTCTTTTTCTTTTTCTTTTTCTTTTTCTTTTTCTTTTTCTTTTTCTTTTTCTTTTTCTTTTTCTTTTTCTTTTTCTTTTTCTTTTTCTTTTTCTTTTTCTTTTTCTTTTTCTTTTTCTTTTTCTTTTTCTTTTTCTTTTTCTTTTTCTTTTTCTTTTTCTTTTTCTTTTTCTTTTTCTTTTTCTTTTTCTTTTTCTTTTTCTTTTTCTTTTTCTTTTTCTTTTTCTTTTTCTTTTTCTTTTTCTTTTTCTTTTTCTTTTTCTTTTTCTTTTTCTTTTTCTTTTTCTTTTTCTTTTTCTTTTTCTTTTTCTTTTTCTTTTTCTTTTTCTTTTTCTTTTTCTTTTTCTTTTTCTTTTTCTTTTTCTTTTTCTTTTCTTTTTCTTTTTCTTTTTCTTTTTCTTTTTCTTTTTCTTTTTCTTTTTCTTTTTCTTTTTCTTTTTCTTTTTCTTTTTCTTTTTCTTTTTCTTTTTCTTTTTCTTTTTCTTTTTCTTTTTCTTTTTCTTTTTCTTTTTCTTTTTCTTTTTCTTTTTCTTTTTCTTTTTCTTTTTCTTTTTCTTTTTCTTTTTCTTTTTCTTTTTCTTTTTCTTTTTCTTTTCTTTTTCTTTTTCTTTTTCTTTTTCTTTTTCTTTTTCTTTTTCTTTTTCTTTTTCTTTTTCTTTTTCTTTTTCTTTTTCTTTTTCTTTTTCTTTTTCTTTTTCTTTTTCTTTTTCTTTTTCTTTTTCTTTTTCTTTTTCTTTTTCTTTTTCTTTTTCTTTTTCTTTTTCTTTTTCTTTTTCTTTTTCTTTTTCTTTTTCTTTTTCTTTTTCTTTTTCTTTTTCTTTTTCTTTTTCTTTTTCTTTTTCTTTTTCTTTTTCTTTTTCTTTTTCTTTTTCTTTTTCTTTTTCTTTTTCTTTTTCTTTTTCTTTTTCTTTTTCTTTTTCTTTTTCTTTTTCTTTTTCTTTTTCTTTTTCTTTTTCTTTTTCTTTTTCTTTTTCTTTTTCTTTTTCTTTTTCTTTTTCTTTTTCTTTTTCTTTTTCTTTTTCTTTTTCTTTTTCTTTTTCTTTTTCTTTTTCTTTTTCTTTTTCTTTTTCTTTTTCTTTTTCTTTTTCTTTTTCTTTTTCTTTTTCTTTTTCTTTTTCTTTTTCTTTTTCTTTTTCTTTTTCTTTTTCTTTTTCTTTTTCTTTTTCTTTTTCTTTTTCTTTTTCTTTTTCTTTTTCTTTTTCTTTTTCTTTTTCTTTTTCTTTTTCTTTTTCTTTTTCTTTTTCTTTTTCTTTTTCTTTTTCTTTTTCTTTTTCTTTTTCTTTTTCTTTTTCTTTTTCTTTTTCTTTTTCTTTTTCTTTTTCTTTTTCTTTTTCTTTTTCTTTTTCTTTTTCTTTTTCTTTTTCTTTTTCTTTTTCTTTTTCTTTTTCTTTTTCTTTTTCTTTTTCTTTTTCTTTTTCTTTTTCTTTTTCTTTTTCTTTTTCTTTTTCTTTTTCTTTTTCTTTTTCTTTTTCTTTTTCTTTTTCTTTTTCTTTTTCTTTTTCTTTTTCTTTTTCTTTTTCTTTTTCTTTTTCTTTTTCTTTTTCTTTTTCTTTTTCTTTTTCTTTTTCTTTTTCTTTTTCTTTTTCTTTTTCTTTTTCTTTTTCTTTTTCTTTTTCTTTTTCTTTTTCTTTTTCTTTTTCTTTTTCTTTTTCTTTTTCTTTTTCTTTTTCTTTTTCTTTTTCTTTTTCTTTTTCTTTTTCTTTTTCTTTTTCTTTTTCTTAATTTCGGAATTTTTGAGATTTCCTGATTTTTCCCTTCCTCACATTTTTGCTTACTTTCTTGAAGATTGGTATTCTGTATGATGTTTTTAGAATAAAGTAAGCGAAGAGCACTCTAAGATGTCTTCTAATATAACTATACCCAATTATCTACGAACCATTTTTCATTTCATACATCTGGTATCTGTATCTGTAACGTGTGGAGAGTAAAGTACCTCAAGGCACTTAGGCCTCACTAGGTCCATTGTGCATTCTCCTAAGATGATAGGCACCTCCTAGCTCGTGAGACAACCTACAATTTTAATGTAGTTAACAACGTCGCTTAGAGGTACTTCTCTTATATCGGCCGATACTCGCCGAAAACAAATCTTGTTATAAATGAGAGCGTCGAACAATCGTAGCGGATATGCCCGATGGTGTCATCTTATTGTTCGCACCCCCTTCGGAGTGCGGATGCTGACAGCCCCATGATAGGAAGATACTTCCGTACTTGGCAATGACCAGTCAGAATGCCTGTGACTAGGCGCAGATTCTATTTGGTAAAATGTGTGCCTTGTGATACCTTGATGTACTAAAGATAATTTCTCTTTGCTTCTCTTAACCTTACAGATACAGACATAAGAACTTGTTGTTTTTAATTAAAAACGTTATTTTAATTTTACTATTAAAATCTTCAAAACAACAGACTTGGACTACATCTATTATTATTCCTTCGTGGGTGGTAGGTACATTAAAAATAATATTGTAGGGTAATGTAGAATATGCCGACAAAAAATGTGCTAATATGAAGATGAGACTGGCTATCGTTGACGAGAAATACAAGCATGATGCTCTTAAGTGTATACTTGCCGCGAAAGGTAAATTTGCTTTTTTAAATATATACACATACCTAACGTCTCACTTAAAGTTAACTATAATAAAAGCGGAAAAGAAGTATAGTAAAATGTGATGTATAATAATTACTCTTACATACGATAATTTTGGTGTTCTACACAATTGCCGCGTTTAAATATCCACATCGAATGCATCTGAGATGTGAATTTTTTATCACGTGACAGAGAATTAGATCTGAATGTAGATGTAATAAAGAAACGCTCTAGACTTTATTGGCCACGTGATAAAATGACAATGAAAAGTTAGAAGTATATATTCTTTAAATTTGACTTTTGAGACTGCAAATCAACCTAAATTTATATTCTAAACAAAAATTAAACAAACTAAACACTTTTATATTCACACTAGCATAAATAAAGGATAAATCAATAATCTTGGCTACACAGAACACCTGGCATTAAACGAACATCTCGTTTACATCTCATTTCAAATCGCAATGAAAAAAATGTAATCTGGACCGCTACATCTTGGATAAACAAACGCAGATGTAGATGTAGACGATGAGTCCGATGTGGATAAACAAACGCTCGAGATTTAAAAAATGCATCGGATGTCAATTTTTAAACCCGACAATTGTACTATTGTAATATACTTAAAATAATTTTACAATTCTTTTAATAATTTTATTTATACCTCTTCGCAAAACATGGAGAAGAACTTTTTCTATTTTTTTTTTATTCTGAAACTTAGGCGATTGAGATTTTTATTTTAATAAACGTTTAAAAGAACTTACCTGAAGTTCAATCGTAATTATATGTGGCATCCAGTTCGAAGATTTCACATTTAGTTAACTATGTAGTGGCCTTTTCTGCTACTACGCCCACGATATTGTTAAAGATTTAAAAAAGAAAAGCAAATAAAATAAAACTACTTGTATGCTCCTGACTTTCCAACCCATGTCTCTTATGTCTCGGTCGCCGCTTGGCTATTCATTTTGTTTAAAACAGCAAGTTCCTGTTCCAGGAGTCAATGTTTAGGAACCATCTGGGATGGGAGTGACGGGTTGTGATATCTTCGTACTGGATGCCTCATATAATTACGATCGAACTTTAGGTAAGTTCGTTTAATCGTTTAATTATATTTCGGCATCCAGTCCTCGATATCACATTTAGTTAACTATGTAGTTGTTTAAAGATTTCCAAAACATTGACTGGTTTCGAATGTCACCTACGGATTCTTATATGTGATATTATTTATGAAGTATTAATAAAGACCGATCTTTTATTAAACAAGTTGGCTAACAAAATTAAACAAAATAACATTAGATTGTCTGTTGACAAAATACTTAAAATAAAAATAGAACGTTAGATTATCAACTGAAAAAAATACTTACACTAGTCTGTTAACAAAACCGCTTGCAAGAGTTTATTCGTATCTATTAAAGGTCTGTTATAAAAACGAGCAAACGTTGAAGATGATTTGCTCCAACCAGCACATATTCTTATAGCTTCGATAGATAGGCCTTTCCTATAAGCGGCTGAAGTTGGAGCATGTCTAGCCGAGTGCGCCGTGAATACAGATGTATCAATTCCAGCTGCTTTTAGTGTGGTTTTAACACATCGACTGATAGTTTGTTTGCTTGCAGGGCCAATTGGTGTTTTGTTGGTTAAAAAGAGAAAATCACAAGCAGGTTTTCTGATACGCTTGGTGGCGTCTAAGTATTCTTTGATCTTTGGTTGTCGTGCAAATAAGGCAGGCCTAATTTTAGTTGCAATGTTTTGGGACCTAATGTTTTATTAAGGTCTGGGATAAATAGGGTTGCACCTCGTTCGTTGAATTTAATATTCAAGCATTTAATAAGTGAAATCGTTTGGACTCTCTGACCTGTTGCCAACATTAAAAGAGTGGCTACCTTTTGCGATAAGCTTTTTCTCGTATAGGACGATTTTTCTAAAAATTACAGTACACGTTGAGGATCCTATGCTATTCCGTATTTAGGCTTTGGTGGCCTAAGACGAAATACTCCCTTCAAAAATCTCTTTAAAGTAGGATCATTTCCGAGGTCCCTTGAGTGTATTAAGGAGATTTCAGCACGGTTTGAATTAAAGGAACCAAATATGTTATTTGTTGAATCGAGTATTTCTTGAAAAAAGGAAAAGATATGTGTTACCTTACAATCAAATGGATTCAGATTTCTGTAGCAGCAGTATTTCCATGATCGTTTTAGCGTAACTTTCTATTGCTTTAAAGTGGCTGGAGCTTGTGAATTTTCCATGGTGTTGATGACATCATCTGGAATTTCCCTCTTTCTAAATGCTTGCCGGATAATTTCGCCGCCATTAGGGACAGTTTCTGATGAAGAGGGTGTTTGGTGTTGCTGTAAGGACAGGTTAAAAGTGAATTACTCGGGCCAAATACTATAGGGCCTTCAATTATAAGTTTATTTAATAGGGAGTACCATGGTTGGGGGGGCCACGACGGTACTACTATGATACCCGTTGCTTCGTCATTAACGATTTTTTGGAGGGAACGGAGCACCAATACAAATGGTGGAAATGCATAGAAGTTGTAATTTTGCCAAATAAGAGTGAATCAATCTACTGCCTCTGCTAAGGGGTCTTTGACCATGGAAACATAACGTTCACATCTATAATTTGCCATTTTAAAATGTGTCGCATACACGTAAAAATTTAAATGTTTTAGATTTAATATATATCTCTTCCTGCCATTTCATTATTCCGTAAAAAATGTTTTGGAAATAAATTCAAATAAAAATAATTTCAATGGCACTGATTTTGAACAAATTTTAACAATATTTGATTGGCGTCAATTTTTGAAAATTTTGAGGGCCCAGGAGAAGAAGTTTAAAATGAAATTGTAGTTAAAGGTATATTATAGTCGTGCAGCCAGCTGTGAATAATTGGATTATTTGTAATATAATGCAATTCCTTATGAAAAAATCCTAGGCAACCTGCATAGTCTGAATTATTCACCAGATATAGCGTAAGCAGCGTGATCCCCCGTCCTTGCTCCTTCACTCCTCTACGTAAGGTTTCGAGATGCGCACTTTCTGAGGCCCCATTGCCCGCGTGCGACGGGACGGGCGTGTCAAGTTTAAATTACTACTGGGAGTCTTGGTATAATAGGTTGTGCCCCCCTCCTTCTTTTGAAATTTCCTAACAGTAGTTGGGTTTTTCGGGGTTGGGCACAGACCTTTACCTAAACTAGCGATGTGTTTTGCAGATTTAATATGTTCAGATAGATTAGCTTCAAATAACAGGTCTGTAGGTTGGGACTTTTCTACAACCTTCTTTACATTTTTGCCCAGTAAAGGAAGAATGCAGTTCCTTCTCAACATTGTCAGTCTATGGAATAAATTGGTGAATAATCTTCCCGCATCGGATAGATGTGTCTCCTTGATTTCAAAATAAATCATTTCTTTGTCCTTTAATATGACGTTAAGCCCTAGACCTAACCAACGCACATATACCTTTCCCTAACTGCGACTGAGACTCCTTTTAGGACTCGTTTCGGATTAAATTATTTTTTTTCAAAATTGTCACAATTTCACTGAATTACTGATGATGGACTTCTCCTTCTTTTCTTATGTTTTCCCATATTAAAAGAGATGCTAAAAGATAAAAATATTAGATATAAACACGGATACTTACCCAGATCCGTCCTCGTAGGCGTAGCACGAAAAGCACAATGAATAGCCAAGCGGCGACAGAGACAGAAGAGACATGGATTGGAAAGTCAGAAGCGTACAAGTAGTTTTATTTTATTTGCTTTTGTTTTTTAAATCTATAAAAAATCGTGGGCGTAGAAGCAGAAAAAGGCTACTACATAGTTAACTCAATGTGATATCGAGGACTGGATGCCGAAATATTATAGGAATTTTCTTAATAATTAAATAATAAAAAAATATTAATTAGGTGATAAGACAAAGTACCATATAGGAGGGCGTAGAAGAACCAAGGATGGAGGAAAAGGTGAAAACGTCGAATTTCGATGGTTAAATGGCGAAAGACTAACTTTCAGACATTTTGCCAAAGACAGGCCTGATAACTCTCACCAGTTTAATGTAGAACCTCGTACAGAGCTTTCGTTAAAATATAATGGAGAAGATCTATTTTGGTGGGATATAGATACTATTTCAAAATATAGGTATATTTGTGAACCACCTAGAAAACATTATGTTAAAGGTAAGTTCATCTAATCGAACACATTTTTTTTTCAAGATATCACAAGTACAAATTTAATATTTTATAAAATCTAAAAAAATGTTTGCAGCCCAAAATGTGTAAATTGTTTATAGTTAGTCAACTGCAGTTTCCTTATAACTACTTACTGTAAATCATAACTGTTGTTACGCAAATTTTTGGTACCACAATTTATTTTAACTGAATAATAACAATGCAATTATCATTTCTCATCTGTGACCTCTGCAATACCACTTAGAGGACTACATGTACTCCATCAGGGCTTTCTCACTTCCGGTGCAATAGGCCATCGTGAAGATACAGCAAATCCTAGTGAGTCCAGTCCCCTTTAATAGCTCCACTTTATTTGGTTTTCTCTTGCCAAGTATCTTTACTTTATTTTTGAGCCATTCTCGGACAACTTTTAAGTCAATGTCTTTCTTCTGTTCTTTTTTAAGGCTTTCAAGGATGTTTTTTTCTTCTTTGTCCTCTGTCTTGATGGTGGTCGCCCAAAGTGCAACTTTATTAAACGATTCCTTTCATTCTCCGTGCCCTTTATTGTACCGGCATTCTCGTTCTAAACAGGATCGACTGAAGAGAATATCTGCGTTGCTCTACTTCCTCTATATTGCTAAAAAGCCGGCTAGGTGTGGGTGATTGGCTTTTCTGGGACTCATAGCTGCTGTTACTATTTCTTGTTGGACTTCGTGACGGGCATCGGGAAATTGATATATGTGACTTTCTGACCTTATTCCTTGATTCTTGATTTATAGAGCTAGCCTTGCTTCTACAGGTCCTTTGTAGGTGCCCGATTCTTCCGCAATTAAAGCATCGCCTGCTTCCATCTTGGCTGTTTAGTTGCATGTTTTGCAGGATATTTAATATTTGTGAGAGTGTAGGTTAAAGAATAGTATTAGTGTTGGCTTTTTCACTTTCCTGGGACTTAATTGGTCTCATGCTTGTGCGAGAAGATTTGGATAGGAGTTTTACCGCTTCATATTCCTGGGCTGCAATCAGTTTCTCCCTTAGCGTCTTGTGTTGTTGTAGACGAAAGGCTTGCTGCATTTCCACATCTTGTAGTTTATCAATGAATGAATGTAATCCGATTTGTTCTTGTAAATCTTTGGGCGCCTGTGGATAGGCCAGATGACTCAATCTTCTTATATCGGCTTCGAATTCCTGTAAACTCTTAATATGTTTTTGACTATGAACCTTTAGCTGGCTTTAAAATACCCGTTTCAAATGATGCTGGCCATATCTTGTCTCCAGATTTTGGACGAGAGATGAATAACTGGGTTCTTCCTGGGGAAGTAACTGTAAAACGCTTGCTGCCTTTCCTCGCAGCGACACTATCAATAAAGCCACCATCTCTTTATTGGTCCAGCCGTTGGCTCTAACTGTAGCTTCAAATTGGAGTCGATACCTTTACCCATGTTGTCTGAGCTTCAAACGTCGGTGGCTTAATGGTCTTGCTAGTATGACTTTGTGAAACTGGGTTTTGGATATGGCTTGGTTCGTGTATAGATGAGGACGAGGTAGTGTTTCCAGTTTCTATATTTCTTATCGAAGCTTGGCTACGAATTATTCTTTCGAACTCAACTAGTTCAGTTCTAATTTGCCTTTCGAACTCTACTCTAGCCTTTTCCTTTTGCTTTAAATTTTCTCATTGTTGTTCTAAATTAGTTTTTAAATACTCTTGCTGCTGTTCTAAATTAGTTCTTAAATGTTCTTATTGTTGCTCTAACAAATCTACTCTAATTTTAAGCTGACCAACCTCTTGCCTAAAGGTTTCCTGGATTTGTAGCAAAGCATTTATAATTTTTACCTTAGCTTTTCTACGCCTCTTGTCCCTCTCTTTTTTTTTATCCATCCTGCGTCTTTCCTTCTCCTCTTCTCGCCTTTCCTTTTCTTGCGCTTCTTCCTTCCTACGCCTTTTCTTTTCCTCCGCTTCTTCCTTTCTACACCTTTTCTTCTCCTCTTCTCGCTTTTCCTTTTCCTTCGCTTCTTCCTTTCTACGCCTTTCCTTTTCCTCCTCTTCTTCCTTCCGACGCATTTTCTTTTCCCCATCTTCTTCCTTCATACGCCTTTCCTTTTGCTCATCTTCTTTCTTCCTACGCCTTTCCTTTTCCTCCTCTTCTTCCTTTCTACGCCATTTCTTTTCCTCATCTTTCTTCCTACGCCTTTCCTTTTCCTTCTCTTCTTTCTTCCTACGCCTTTCCTTTTCCTATTCCATCTTCAAAAACCATGCTGGTGGACCTGAAGTACCCATGCCTGCTTCGTACTCAGTGAATCTAGTATTTACCATGAACTTTTACTTTGTATCCCACCGCTGTCACCAATGTTACGCAGGTTTTTGGTATCTCAATTTATTTGAACTCATCTTTTACAACAACTATTAAACTGATAACATTAACATGTAACGTCTATCATAAAACTGAAAACTGACGTTAGGATCAACCTTATATAGCTTGCCTTTCTTCTCGAACCTTCTCGAACTGTCGTCTAGAATATTCTTGACCGGTAATCATATTTCCAGACATTTCTGGTCTATTCTATCTTCTTTTACTCGTACTTTTGCTTAGGACGACCGCAGCACACTATAGGGCGATGAGTAACATTCCACTTCTTTTTCTATCTGTACGTTTCTTATAATAGCCGCAGGCTACTGCAGGGAGCTGTGTAAAAATACTATCGACTTGTCTATCCAACACCACAATTATCTCTTTTCTTGTATTCCTGGTTGCCTTATATAAACATTTCTTTATTCAAATATAGTAACTAAAATATTCGTAGTACATATATCTACTTTTATATAAGTACACAGAGTCAAAACAGTATAAATGAAATGCTTGTAAAATTTACTGAAGTAAAAACAAAAATTGGAAACCTAATTTTATAGGAAATAAAAAAGCGATAAAAGCATAAATCGTCTGGTCTAATAATAAATTCTTTCAAACATATTCTTCCCTTCATTTTAGCCCAATATGTACCGTTTTTGCGAATTATCATCCATAATTAGAATACAGGCAACAGCTTCTTCCACATCAGACTAACTTACAACCAGTGAAGAAAAAGGTTTTATTAAATATTTTATAGGGCATAACAAGGGCAAACATATGTCGACTAGTGTAAACAGTTTGTTGTTTTAAAAAGTTGACTGAATTTGCAACATTCGACAGCTTCTTAGAAAATTGCAAAAAGTTGTTGAATGTTGCTCCAGTGTGGATACGGTTTCACGTAGAGGCATAAACATTTCCAATGTTAAAAATAATATTATTTTAATTCAAAGATTACGGATAGGTCAGACAAGAATTTTACATCTAATGGTATACCGTAAATCGTATTCTAATAGACTGGCCACAATATTCAGATGCCCGCAGAAGCCATAAACTTGGAAAGTCTTTAAAATATATTTTTGGTAGTCCCGGCAGTACCCAAGAAGCATAAACTAAAGTATACCAACCTCTAAATACAACTTAATTCAGATTTTAAAAATCTGAAACTTTATACCTACTCACTTGTGTTTTACATATTATATTGTGTCAATAATCGTAACTGTTGTTACAAAAACTAATTTTGTTAAATAAAAAAAATACTGCCTTAATTTTCCTCCGATATTTTTACATACAGACAATCGCATGTGTAACTTTTTGAGAATAATATTGGAAAAAATTTATTTTTCAGGTCCACCTGATCCGAAAAACCCATTTAAGATTGATTTTAATCATAATAAGATATACGGAATCGATAATACTTGGGGAGAATGCAAATCAAGGTTTAATAAGAGTATAATTAGTCTCGAAAGTGAGGACATAAAAAAGAGTTTTCTGGATATATTAAAACAAAACGGTGAGAATTTCTTTTTACTTTATTCAACGCACCGAGAAATATTTATACCCAAAGCAGGACACATTATTTTTTAACTTCATTAATATATAATTCCTACACAGGAATAATTTTAATAAATTTAAAACCTTGGACAATGTATTTTGGAAAACGGCAATGAGCGATTCATGTAAAAGCTACTTTTTCAGAAAAATTAATAAAATAAATTTTAGCAAAACAGGATATTTTATGTCGAAACGCTAGGAGTAAAAAAATTGCCTTTTAATTACCAAAGGTTAACAGTGACAGTATAAAGCTACCGGAATTAGAAATATAATTATCAAAGTTTTTAAAAATATTGATATATTTTTATTTCATTAGTTCCAGGAATAAATTCGCATCAAAAAAATGAAGTCCTATGAAATACGGTGTTCATTTTTATCAAAAAATGCCTATATTATCATCATTAATTATCAGATTTATTTTTGCTTATATCTATTAGTTTATTGTTATGAATCATGTTAAAAAAAAACATGGTCAAACATATATTTATTTATTTATTACTCGACAATACAGCAATTTCATCGGATTGTTAATTATATCAAAGGAACCTTAGAAGAAAAAAAATGTATGCATCAGTATTTCTTGATGTAAAAAAGACGTTTGACAAGGTCTGGCATAAAGGCATGTTATGCAAAGTGAAAAAGCATGTGTCTAGTGAAACATACCTAGTATTAAAATCATAACTAAACGAGCGATACTTTTAAATCAAGATAAATACCTCATTCTCAAAATACCACCCTATACAATCCGCAGTTCCTCAAGGAAGTGTCCTCGGTCCTTTCCTTTATCTCCTATTTACTGCTGACATACCTGTTGAAGATGACATCGTTGTGGCAACATTCGCCGACACAGGAATCCTTACATCAGACAAAAATCCAAATAGAGCATCTAAAAAGCTGCAAAACTTTTTAAACTTGCTACAAACATGGTTAAAATGATGGAAGATTAAGGTTAATGGTGAAAAGTCCACACAAATTTAATTCACAACAAGAAGGTGTGATTGTCCACAGGTTTATATCAATAACGTTCCCATCTCCATCAAAACAGAAGTTAAGTAAGGTCAACTCGCGGAACTGTATACCTTCAATTTCAAAGTTGACTTTAAAATCAAGATAAAAACTAGAGATCATCTTACTATATATTTTTTTAAGCATAATACTATTTTTGCAACCTTAAGTAATGATAATCCGAAAGTATTTTTACCTGAAAATTTGGATTTATTAAAAAAAAAAAATAAATTGGTCGCAATTTCACAGAAATGCACTTACCCCAGTTTATGGGGCAAGTGCATTTCAGACCTCTTTCTTTCTATTTAGATGCTTATGATGATTATCCGAGGCAAGAGCAAAAAATATGTAAAATTTCGAATCGGTCAGTTTTTGCACAACTTAATTATCTGTAATATTAAGAAAGATATAGTCAAATTATTATTTTTAAATCTTAAGATTTTATTAGAAAAATTATTAAACATAAACTTTTAGAAAACATTTAGAATACAAAATAACTGTTATACAAACTTTAGTAGATACTTTTAACATAACAAATATTTATTCTACGACTGGCACAGGGTCCTTAAATACATAGCGGCCTTTAGAATCCATTTCAAAGTCCGGAACATCTGTATTCATATTCTCATGCATTGGGACGGTGTCTTGATCAGTCTTATGGAACTTGAAAGCCTTCTTTTCTTTATCTACAGAGCGTAAATATTTAACAAAACACTCTTATGAATCATATATTTCTTTGATTGCTCTTAGGTTAATTTTTAGAGTTTTTTGGTAGATTCATACTTGACTAATTGACCAATTGATCTTCAGTTTCTGAAGATAAAGCTGTCATTCTCTCAAATGTTTTTGACTTTACACTCTTTATTTGGTTTTCTTCTGTAATTGTGCACCATTTTGGTTCTAAAAATCAAAACAAAAGCACTTTCATAAAATAATTTAAGAAAAACGACAAAATTAGACACAGAGGGAAGTACACGCGTCTGCACTTTCCCCATGGTGAAAAACGCACTCGCCTTTTAACCTATTTTGGAGGGGAAAGAGCATATTTGCTAATTTTATGACTAATATGATTAAACATTGTGAAAACAATATCAAAAATTAAAAACACGATTTAAAATTAAGCTGCTTACCATATTTTGAAAAACAAAACTTCACTTTAGAATTAAAAAAAAGTACAATAAACGGAGCACCACCGAAATGTTTTGACATATGCACAAAGCTTGATCACGTGAGACGCTGTGTCGCCAAACTAATTATCACACTTAAAGAAAGTATCCAAGGAACACACAAAAATTCCCACTGCTGCATAAAATGAACCGTTATTATTATCAGAGCAGGAAAATGTACTTCCCCCGAATACGCACTTCCCTGAGTTAACCTTACCTAGGACTCCATTTGGACTAGAAGCTGACGTGGAAAAATCACATAAAACAAAAAAGCTCACCTAAATCTAAAAGTCAAACAGATGTATTGATTGCTAGGTAAAAGATCTCAACTGTCATTAGAAAACAAAGTCTTATTATACAAATTAATACTAAAACCGATTTGGAGCTATGGTGTCGAATTATGGGGATGCAGCAAACCGTCATATACGAAAATACTACAAACCTTTCAATCAAAGACGCTGCGTATGATAGCAAATGCTCCATGGTACGTTACCAATGCAATAATCCACAATGACCTTGGGAAGACCTAACTGACTAGATGTATTGGAGAATCATCACTGGATGGTGCCCAAAACAAACCACAAATCAAACTATTTGTTAAATACTCTTTGTTTTATAATTAGAGTAGATTGTAAATTTGCACTAGATAAAAAAAATTCTTTCTTTATATACAAGAGCCAATTAATAATTGAAAACATTTATAATAAAATGCGAAATATATGAAGTACGGATATTGTTTTTTTTTAGATTTTTGCCTTCAGTATAATATAATACTTTTTCAGACGACCGAAAGTTCTACTTTATCAATGTACTAAGAAAAGATGCAAAATCTCCGTACATGTGGTACAATACCACTATTAAAGCAGATGATAAATATTGGGGGTCAGGTAAACCCAGTGAAACAGAGAGCCAGAAGTGTGCACTAGTTTGGTATGATCCAAACTTAGGAGATTTAAAATGGGCCAGTACCTTCTGTTATGGGCTTCACTTTATTGCTTGTCAAGGTGACAATATTAATTCATATACTTATCCTATACACTATTTATCATTTACTAATTCTTAAAAGCAGATATTATTGTTTTTAGAAGAATGTTAGAATCGACATAGTTTTAATTTTTTTACACTCATTGTCCAATTTTCGTTTTAGGTGAAGGCAAACAAGGTGACAAAAAACCTAATAATTGTAAGTTAGGAATTTATGGTAGTGCAATTGTATTGTATTTACCTTTTTCCATTTATGTTACATTATTCCTATTGTCATTATATCCTTGTTTGTTTTAGGTATCTCTGGTGGCGCGGGAGTTTCTGGTGGTGCAGGAGTTTCTGGTGGCGCTGGTGCTTCTGGTGATGCAGGAGTATCTGGCGGCGCAGGAGGATCTGGTAGCGCAGGAACTTCAGGTGATGCGGGATCTTGTGTTGGTGTAGGGGTCTCTGGAAACGCAGGAGTAAGTGGTGGTGCAGGAGTCTCTGGTGGTGCAGAAGTTAGTGGTGACTCCGCAGTTTCTGGTGGAGCAGGAGTTAGTGGTAATGGAAAAGTAAATGGTTTAGCTGGTGGTAATGCAGGTACATTGAGTTTAAACATTAAATTAAAAAATATTAAGTATATTAAAAAATAAAATAAATTCTATTAGCTTGATATTGAGTTTATTTAATGGGTATACATTAAAAAACTAATACAGACTATAGTTTTTATTTTTAACTAAAAGAAGTAGCGTCCGTATTAAACCGCAAGCATATGATTCTTTCTATTATATTTATTTGGTATTATATTAGTTGCAATGAATGAGAGTTAAATGTGTTACTTTGAATTAAGGATGTCTACGAATGTATCTCTATATTTCCTGCATTAGTTGCAACAACGTCGTATGTGCAAACATTTTATTTTTTACAAGGGGCCATTTGAAAGTTTTGGTCGTCATAAATTGAAATGTATTGAAATGCAATAGATTCAATATTTGCTTCTTTATTGCATGTGTTATAATAAACACATCACTTTCCAATATTTTTGCACCTACGACATTGTTGCACTGGATGTGCGATTTGTAGTAATATATGTAGAATTTGTTGTGATGAAGGGAAACAGTTTCCACCATTCTGTTTCATCATTTCTATAGTTAGTATCTAAAAGCCATTGTATCTATTTTTATTTTGGGTAAAGGAGGCAAGTCTTGTGGAGTTATTGGCAACGTAGGTATCTCCGGTGGCGCAGGAGCGTCTGGCGATGCAGTCGCTTCTGGTGTATCAGGAGATTTTTGTGGCGCAAGAGCTTTTAGTGGTGCAGGAGTGTCTAGTGATGCAGCAGCTTCTGGTGGCGTAGGAACATCTGGTGGTGCAGGAATTGGTGCTGTTGGAAAAGCTAATGGTAGTGCAGGTACATTAAGTTTACATGGTAAATTAAAATTTACTAAGGAAACAAAACTAAATAAATAACAAAAATGTTCATGTTTCTTTTTTAAGTACCCATAAATTATTGTAACTATTTTTGTTTATTATAAAGAAGGCAATTCCGCGGGAATTAATTGCAATGTTGGAGTTTCTGGTGGCGCAGCAGCTTCTGGTGGTGCAGAAGCGTCTAGTGATGCAGGAGATTCTGATAGCGTAGGGGCATCTGGTGGCGCAGCAGTTGGTGCTGGTGGAAAAGTTAATGGTGGAGCTACCGGTAGCGCAGGTGCATTAAGTTTACATAGTAAAGAAAATTTAACTAACTAACACACATATGTTCCTATAAGTAGCATCCCAATTTAATCGCAACTACATAAATGATTCCATTTTTTATTTTTAATATGTAATATAATATATTATTTGTAATAAATGAGCGTTAAATATTCTACCTTGAATAAAAATTATTTTAAAATTTACTTCTACAATGTAGTGTTACATTAAGTTGTAATTCAATAGTTAGTGATAGTGAAGAGACCAGCTAGTTTTAATGTCTTTCCTTATTATTTTAATTGTACACATTGTTGTTTTAGGCAAAGGAGGCAAGTCCGGTGGCATTAGTGGCAACTTAGGAGCTTCTGGTAGCGCAGGAGCTTCAGGTGGTACAGGAGTTAGTGGTGGCGCAGGTGTTAGCGGGGGTACAAAAGGTAATGGTAAGCTGGTTGTAATATTTACACATTAAAGTAGAAGTAACTGAGAACATAAAACTAACAGCATAACATAAATTTTATTATTCTAGAAAATAAGTTTAATTAATTATTTTGCCAAGACCACTTAATAATAAATCAATATTCTACCTCCTAACTAAGAGCATATAGTACCCATATATCACGGAGTGAATTATGATAATTCACGCTTTTGTAATTCTGGCACATTCCGATAGATAACTAAAGATAGGCGATACTTTTCATAACGATATTTTCTAGATCGAAAAAATCGAAAAATCGAAAAATCCAAAAATAAAAAAATCGAAAAATCGAAAAATCGAAAAAAATCAAAAAATCGAAAAAAAAAATCGAAAAATCGAAAAAAAATCGAAAAATCGAAAAAAAAAAAAAATTGAAAAAAAAAATTGAAAAAAGAAATCGAAAAATCGAAAAAATCGGAAAAAAATCGAAAAATAAAAAAAAACCGAAAAATAAAAAAAAATCGAAAAAAAATCGAAAAATCGAAAAATCGAAAAAATCGAAAAAATCGAAAAAATCGAAAAAATCGAAAAAATCGAAAAAATCGAAAAAATCGAAAAAATCGAAAAAATCGAAAAAATCGAAAAAATCGAAAAAATCTAAAAAAAATCGAAAAATCGAAAAAAAAAATTGAAAAAACGAAAAAAAAAATCGAAAAAACGAAAAAAAAAATCGAAAAAAAATTTGAAAAATCGAAAAAAAAATCGAAAAATCGAAAAAAATCGAAAAATCGAAAAAAATAAAAAAAAATCGAAAAAATCGGAAAAAAATCGAAAAATAAAAAAAAAAAACGAAAAATAAAAAATTATTTTAAAATTTACTTCTACAATACTTGTAGTGTTACATTAAGTTGTAATTCAATAGTTAGTGATAGTGAAGAGACCAGCTAGTTTTAGTGTCTTTCCTTATTATTTTAGTTGTACACATTGTTGTTTTAGGCAAAGGAGGCAAGTCCGGTGGCATTAGTGGCAACTTAGGAGCTTCTGGTAGCGCAGGAGCTTCAGGTGGTACAGGAGTTAGTGGTGGCGCAGGTGTTAGCGGGGGTACAAAAGGTAATGGTAAGCTGGTTGTAATATTTACACATTAAAGTAGAAGTAACTGAGAACATAAAACTAACAGCATAACATAAATTTTATTATTCTAGAAAATAAGTTTAATTAATTATTTTGTCCACGACCACTTAATAATAAATCAATATTCTACCTCCTAACTAAGAGCATATAGTACCCATATATCACGGAGTGAATTATGATAATTCACGCTTTTGTAATTCTGGCACATTCCGATAGATGACTAAAGATAGGCGATACTTTTCATAACGATATTTTCTAGATCGAAAAAATCGAAAAATCGAAAAATCAAAAAATAAAAAAATCGAAAAATCGAAAAAAATCGAAAAAAATTGAAAAAAATCGAAAAAAATCGAAAAATTGAAAAAAAAATCGAAAAAAAAAAAAAATTGAAAAAAAAATCGAAAAATCGAAAAAATCGGAAAAAAATCGAAAAATAAAAAAAAACCGAAAAATAAAAAAAAAATCGAAAAAAAATCGAAAAATCGAAAAAATCGAAAAAATCGAAAAAATCGAAAAAATCGAAAAAATCGAAAAAATCGAAAAAAATCGAAAAATCGAAAAATCTAAAAAAAAATAAAAAATCGAAAAAAAATTTGAAAAAACGAAAAAAAAATCGAAAAAAAATTTGAAAAATCGAAAAACAAATCAAAAAATCGAAAAAAATCGAAAAATCGAAAAAATCGGAAAAAAATCGAAAAATAAAAAAAAACCAAAAAATAAAAAAAAAAAAAAAAAATCGGAAAAAAATCGAAAAATAAAAAAAAACCGAAAAATAAAAAATTATTTTAAAATTTACTTCTACAATACTTGTAGTGTTACATTAAGTTGTAATTCAATAGTTAGTGATAGTGAAGAGACCAGCTAGTTTTAGTGTCTTTCCTTATTATTTTAATTGTACACATTGTTGGTTTAGGCAAAGGAGGCAAGTCCGGTGGCATTAGTGGCAACTTAGGAGCTTCTGGTAGCGCAGGAGCTTCAGGTGGTACAGGAGTTAGTGGTGGCGCAGGTGTTAGCGGGGGTACAAAAGGTAATGGTAAGCTGGTTGTAATATTTACACATTAAAGTAGAAGTAACTGAGAACATAAAACTAACAGCATAACATAAATTTTATTATTCTAGAAAATAAGTTTAAATAATTATTTTGTCCACGACCACTTAATAATAAATCAATATTCTACCTCCTAACTAAGAGCATATAGTACCCATATATCACGGAGTGAATTATGATAATTCACGCTTTTGTAATTCTGGCACATTCCGATAGATAACTAAAGATAGGCGATACTTTTCATAACGATATTTTCTAGATCGAAAAAATCGAAAAATCGAAAAATCAAAAAATAAAAAAATCGAAAAATCGAAAAAAAATCGAAAAAAATTGAAAAAAATCGAAAAAAATCGAAAAATTGAAAAAAAAAATTGAAAAAAAAAAAAATTGAAAAAAAAATCGAAAAAAAAAAAATTGAAAAAAAAATCGAAAAATAAAAAAAAAACGAAAAATAAAAAAAAAATCGAAAAAAAATCGAAAAAAAATCGAAAAAATCGAAAAAATCGAAAAAATCGAAAAAATCGAAAAAATCGAAAAAATCGAAAAAAATCGAAAAATCGAAAAATCTAAAAAAAAATAAAAAATCGAAAAAAAATTTGAAAAAACGAAATAAAAATCGAAAAAAAATTTGAAAAATCGAAAAACAAATCAAAAAATCGAAAAAAATCGAAAAATCGAAAAAAAAAAAAAAGAATTGAAAAAAAAATCGAAAAATCGAAAAAAATCGAAAAAATCGGAAAAAAATCGAAAAATAAAAAAAAACCAAAAAATAAAAAAAAAAAAAAATAATCGGAAAAAAATCGAAAAATAAAAAAAAACCGAAAAATAAAAAATTATTTTAAAATTTACTTCTACAATACTTGTAGTGTTACATTAAGTTGTAATTCAATAGTTAGTGATAGTGAAGAGACCAGCTAGTTTTAGTGTCTTTCCTTATTATTTTAATTGTACACATTGTTGGTTTAGGCAAAGGAGGCAAGTCCGGTGGCATTAGTGGCAACTTAGGAGCTTCTGGTAGCGCAGGAGCTTCAGGTGGTACAGGAGTTAGTGGTGGCGCAGGTGTTAGCGGGGGTACAAAAGGTAATGGTAAGCTGGTTGTAATATTTACACATTAAAGTAGAAGTAACTGAGAACATAAAACTAACAGCATAACATAAATTTTATTATTCTAGAAAATAAGTTTAAATAATTATTTTGTCCACGACCACTTAATAATAAATCAATATTCTACCTCCTAACTAAGAGCATATAGTACCCATATATCACGGAGTGAATTATGATAATTCACGCTTTTGTAATTCTGGCACATTCCGATAGATAACTAAAGATAGGCGATACTTTTCATAACGATATTTTCTAGATCGAAAAAATCGAAAAATCGAAAAATCAAAAAATAAAAAAATCGAAAAATCGAGAAATCGAAAAATCGAAAAACTAAAAAATCGAAAAATCGAAAAAAAATTTGAAAAATCGAAAAAAAATTTGAAAAATCGAAAAAAAATTGAAAAAAAATTTGAAAAATCGAAAAATCGAAAAAAAAAATCGAAAAATCGAAAAAAAAAAAAAATTGAAAAAAAAATCGAAAAAAAAAATCGAAAAATCGAAAAAATCGAAAAAAAATCGAAAAATAAAAAAAACCGAAAAATAAAAAAAAAAATAAAAAAAAAATCGAAAAAAAATCGAAAAATCGAAAAAAATCGAAAAATCGAAAAATCGAAAAAAAATCGAAAAATCGAAAAAAAATCGGAAAAAAATCGAAAAATAAAAAACAACCGAAAAATAAAAAAAAAATCGAAAAATCGAAAAATCGAAAAAATCGAAAAAAATCGAAAAATCGAAAAATCTAAAAAAAACGAAAAATCGAAAAAAAATTTGAAAAATCGAAAAACAAATCGAAAAATCGAAAAAAAAAAAAATTGAAAAAAAAATCGAAAAATCGAAAAAAATCGAAAAAATCGGAAAAAAATCGAAAAATAAAAAAAAAACAAAAAATAAAAAAAAAAAAAAAAAAAAAATCGGAAAAAAATCGAAAAATAAAAAAAACCGAAAAATAAAAAATTATTTTAAAATTTACTTCTACAATACTTGAAAAATCGAAAAAAATCGAAAAATCGAAAAAAAAAAATCGAAAAATCGAAAAAAAAAAAATTGAAAAAAAAATCGAAAAAAAAATCGAAAAATCGAAAAAATCGAAAAAAAATCGAAAAATAAAAAAAACCGAAAAATAAAAAAAAAATAAAAAAAAATCGAAAAAAAATCGAAAAATCGAAAAAAATCGAAAAATCGAAAAATCGAAAAAAAATCGAAAAATCGAAAAAAAATCGAAAAAAATCGAAAAAACAACAGTTAGTTACCTATGTTTAATAAAAACTTTCCATTCACACTTAACTTTTATTTAATGGTCGTGGACAAAGTATAGTATTAGACTCGCAATTTATGGCCATTATTCACTCGGGTGACTTGCGCCCCTCACCTACGGCTCGGGACGCAAACGTCACCCTGCGTGAATAATGGCTGCCATAAATTGCTCGTTTAATAATATACTATTACATTAAGAAAAATGAATATAATTTTTGTTTTAAATTAAAATAAGTAACATCTGTATTTAACCGCAAGTATATGATTTGAACTTTTGTAATTGTTGTTTTGTTTTATTTTAATGAATGAGCTTATCAAAAGTGGTATATCTTAAATAGAAGATGTTTTGAAATTAATCTCTTTATTTTTTGTATTAAAATGCTTCATATTTTGGTTTTTTATTCTTTTGAATTGCTTTTAATATGTTACAGGTGGCGATGTATCTGCAGGAAGTAGTGGCAAAATTGGAGGAAAAGTAGGACGCTGATGCAAAAGTTAAAAAGCGAAGAACCTCTTTATAATTTCATAATAAATTTTATTTATCGTGAATATTGTTCAATTAAATTATTAATGATAAAACATGTAAACTTTTGTTCTAACGTATGACATGGGAATTTATAAATTTAGCGTGAATATATCTGAAAAGTAGAACCTGTTAAAAATAATTTATTTTTACCCTTTTTTCAAAATATTTAATGACGATAAACATGCCTCTTTTTTTAATTAGTTTTTTATAAATTATGTAATATTGGAACACCTTCACTTTTAGTTTAAAAATAAATAAAGTAAAACACAATTTAAAAATAAAGTGTATTGATGTACGTTTTAAATGGGACGACTGAAAGTTTTCAGGGGGTGACGTCACGCCGCGCCGGACTCAGTAGAAATTGAATGAATTCGGCTATCCTCTTTAGTAGTTGATATAATCATTGACTCTGGTTGACAATTCATTTGTCAGACTAATTAATTCTCTTGTTTGAAAGTTTAAAAACTTTTGGATAACCCAAAATAATTATTGTTTATTACTTTATAGATGAAGTAATATTAATATTTAGTTAATATGTACAATTTAAACAAAATGGATAAAAAAATCGCTGGATGTGACTGGAAATTAAAAGTTAAGTTTTTTAGGAAAAGCAACGAAACAAATTAATAAAAGTAGCACTTTTTAAAGTGTTTGGAAATGTTACGCCATAAATAAGGTACTTTGTGGGGTTTCCGGTGGTATATTTAAAATTTAGAATATATATGTTCTAAGATTTGAAAAGTACTACTACTACTATAAAAAAAAAAAACAAATTCATGGACATAATGGGCAACTAATGGGAATCTATTTTTACAATGTTGTGGTGCCAAATTCGCAGACCTACATATATATTTTTGATTGTAGTATAATTTTGTATATGTCCATTAATTGGGATTTAATCAGTCTTGACAATAGAGTATATTTTCTAATACCGGCCAATGTATATTAATATTAGGCAAATGCAATAACTTTCTTTTTTGTGATATTATTGATAATTGCCTCATTAAGTCAATTAAAATTTATCAAATAATTATATATATTCTAATTACTGTGAGCAATTAAATTTTATCAACTTATATAATTAGAAATGTAATTTTTATTGTCAGACTTCTTTCAGTTTTCTGAATTAAGAGTCATGGGTTCTCATATTTTGGCACTAGTTTTAGTAGCCTTTTTGACTTGTTTTCAAAATTCTGAAGCAGCTGAGGGTAAGCATTAATATTGAACTACCAACTAAAAACAAGTCTAAGGTTTTTAATGTTAAAAAAATATAATTTTATTGCGCAATTTAGATATTTTTACCAGTTCCTATTTCATATTATCTTTTATGGAAACTTCTGTATTCTTCATTTTTATTTAATATATTTTTCTGTACTTAATTCCTTTACTTTCTGGTCTCCTAATTTAGAGAAAATTAAGTTCACCTAAATTACTTAACCATAGCAGTCGTGATTTTGGAATTTCAACCGAAATATCTGACAATTTAATTCAGAAAAGTAACTTTCCAACACTAATTTTTAACTTTGGTGAAAAACCACATGTTATTTAAGTTTTAATGAAATTGTACTGTACAAAATATTTTTTAATTTATTCAATCAAAAGTTTAAAATTGAATCAGAACTGAGTAAAACAATAAGTCGTAGGTTTAGATTTGTCCCAAGTAACTACAAATTGTTTTTTGCATAACTATAGAAATATGTGACATTCGCAACTTTGCTAATAATAAACGAACAGAACGCAGAGGCACATCAAGCAAAAGAGATAAAAAAAATATAGTAGATGTTTAGTTGTTGAAGTTCACAGGAGTATACAATTTTTAATAAAAAAAAAACAACACTATACTAGTTGCCTCAGAAGGTGTGATTATTTAAATTTGTGGTATTTATTAAAAAGAAAATAGTTTTTGTTTTAAAGTAATGTATTCAAGAAAAACGTTTTTTTTGGAAGTACTGCAAATATCAAATACCAATTTTCCTTTACATGTAAAAAAATAAAAATTTTTCATCTTGAAGTTTAATGGTGATATAAAAAAATATTGGACAAAAATGTTATAATCAAAAATAATAATTAACTGGCTTCTGTGACATTAGTTCTTCTACGAGTCCTAACACAAAAATGTTCGGACATTAACTGATTTTGCGAAAAAGTTTGAAAATTTCCTTAAGGAGTCAATATCATATGGTTTTCATTTATAAGACATAAAATGTATTGTTTACATCATATTTATAAAATTGTTTTCAAATAAACTAATATTGATTAATAAAACCAAACTAATGTTGATAAAAATGCAATATTTGCTGACACATAATTATATTTGCTGACACATAACTGATCGGACAAGTAAGTAAAACAAATAATAGCAATCCATGGAAACAAAAAATACGTGTGGCACTCGGGGACTATCGCGGTAAAGCATAGCATAGCATTTTTTATCAACTTATGCAATTGTAATTATTTATTTATTTATTTTATTTATGCAGTATTTTCTTCTTTGATATTTATTCAAGTTACACTTTTTGAGCGTGGTGACCGATAATAAAACAATTTTTTTTCTTTTATTAAATAAATGAGAAGTTAATATTGTTTTACTTATTGAAAAAAAATATATTTCCTATTTGTTTATCTTTTTGAATTTAAATAAACGAAGTCTCCACTAGTAGATTGCATTTTTAAAATTAGCTGAACTTGAATGAACCTCGTTATGCGCGACTATGCATTGAATAAGTATATACTTTTTAAAAACTAAACATTTTAAATTACCAAGACTGTGAAATAATAAAACATTAATAATAAAAAAAAAAAAAAAAAAAAAAAAAAAGTTTCGGAGCCCGAACCACCAACTTTGCTATCCACACTATCCAAATTTTGACCACTGTACGCTATGCGCTACCGAGCACATCTTGATATAAGTCTGGAATCGAATATATAACTTTTGAATACAAATATTTACGAATTTTTACTTTTTAATTAAACAAAAATAAATTGGAAACAAAATTTTATCATGTCAAATGATACCTACATTGTAATTTAATGGAATCACATAAATATATGATTTAAAAACTATGCAAGTATCATTATTTCTTAATTGTATTAATTTTTAAATCTTGAAAGATTTAAAGTTTAAACATAAGTCATCTAAATAAATGCATTTTTTTATTATACTCCGAAATATGAATTTAAAATATACAGCTGTAAAAGTAGACGTGACCAATAGCCAATGGGAGCGTAGAGAATGACTGTAGTATTGTATTGCATAAACGTTCCAGTCCGCAGACGTATATTTAACTCCGCTTAATACTAATACGAATAGGGTCGGATTCGGATAAAACCTTCCACGGCATTCAACGCTGCACTGCTGTGCCGGTCGGAGTGGGGGGTGTTAGGTTATTTTTCGTTACGGTCGTTACGGAAATTTCTTGATTCGGTTACCGCGCTTAAAGCCCGCGATAAAAGCTATGCAATAGCTTAAAAAAAGTGTTTCTGTTTTGACATTTTAACTTGAGAATTAATTCGATTATCAATTGGCTCCAAAATGTGTGGTAAAGCAACAAATGGTGCAATTATAGAATTAATAGTAAAACTGTTTAACCAAGGAAAAACTTTGGGATATTGCTAAACAAATAAATGTCGCAAAGTCCACGGTGTCATATATTGTGAAAAAATATGGAGAAACGGGTTCAACTCAAATTTCAAGACGTGGTGCTGGTCGGCCACGCAAAGTCACTTCTAGAATGCAAAGATCTCTTGTTCGGATTTGTAAAACTGATCGCCGAAGGGAAATAACAGCAAAATGGAATGAAGAAATAATTGAAAATGTTTCACGAGAAACGTGTCTGGTTTATATTTTTATAAGGTACGTAGGTTACGTTTGAGGAAAATATCATATTTATGCAGTGAAATAATTGGTTAAGGCAAAAGAAAAGCCGTTGCTGACGATAAAACAAAAGAAAAGACGATTAGCGTGGGCAAAGGATCGGGAATTGTGGACTTTTGAAGCCTGGAAAAGAATCATTTTTAGCGATGAATCAAGATTTGATGTTTGCGTGGGTGACCATCGATCACATGTTATAAGGAACAAAAATGAAGCCTTTTACAAAGACTGCCTAAAGAGAAAAATAAAATTTCTATCAGGTGTTATGGTATGGGGAAGCATGTCTGGTTTCAGTGTTGGAAAACTGCACTTTATAGACGGAATTGTAAACGCAGAAAAATATCAGAACATTCTTGAAACCAATTTGTTAGTGTCAATTCCAATTTTACTACCTGATGGAAACTTTACTTTTTAACAAGATGGCGCCTCCTGCCATATAGCCAAGACCACAAAAAAGTGGCTGCAGGACAACAACATTTCCGTCCTTGACTGGCCCTCCAGCAGCCTTGATCTAAATATAATCGAAACTGTATGACACAAGATGAAGCAGCAATTAAGAAATGATCCACAGCGCAACATTTCTGATTTGCGGGTAAAATTGCAAAATATATGGGGTTCTTTTACCGCAGAAACTTGCAAAAAGCTTGTTAAAACTATACCTGATATAATAAAAGCTGTTAATAAGGCAACCAGCTATTGATGTGATTTGTCCGAACATTTATGTTTTAATAAATATGCAATATTATCAACATTAGCTTAGTTTTATTGATCAATATCAGTTTATTTGAAAACAATATCATAAATATGATGTAAAACAATACATATTATGTCTTATAAATAAAAAACATGATATTGAATCCCTTAAGAAAATTATCAAACTTTTACGAAAAATCAGTTGATGTCCGAACATTTTTGTGTTAGGGCTCGTATATCAGGATCATTATTCTCTTTATTAACATTAATAACGTAATTATTATTAATAATAATAATAATATTAATAACAACACATTTATTGTCCACATATATAGTACAGTTTATACATTTAAAATATATAAAAAAATCAGTGGACAATTGGCTCAAAGTGGTTCAGGTGCGGTTATTCTTCACAACTGTTCTTCCACCATGCCAATATGATATAAAACAAAATACGTTCTGAGATGGAGTTTTAAAATTATGAAGAAATTTTAATGAGAAGGGAAGAAAAGAGGATGAGAAAAAAAAAAGGTGATGAAAATAAGAAAGAGAAATTAGAGAATAAAAAAAAAGAAAATAAGAAGAGAAAAAAAATGGAAATAAAAATAAATTATTGTGTTTACAGCACTATATTTTTATAGCGGCAATTAAGAGTTTTTGCTCTTAAATGTAACAATATTGGATCAACTTTTAACAGGTTATTGATATTGACTGTGACATTGTAGGTTATGTTATGTTGAGAAAGGGGTGTTAATACACTGCGACCTAAAAGATCTATTGTGCCCCCTTCTGTCGCCACTGCACTAAAAAAAATTCTCAATGCCTATAGTCACCCTTCCAATCCTATTTTCTCAAGGAAGTGTAGGGTTTGAAGTGGCTTCAAGTTAGGTAAATCTCCCTCTTCTATTTGATATCCTTCTAGATATAGCGCCCTTGGATTCTGGAGTGCTACACATTCAGTTAGGATGTGAATAGAGGTTTCGTCCTCCTCCTCAGAGAATCTGCACTCACTTTCCTCTACTACTCTCAGTTTACTTGGGTGTCCTTTTAGTCGGCAATGCCTGGTAAGGATCTCTGTTACAATACGTAGCCTGTTCTTGCTCAGGCAGATGCAAGCTTCCGGTATTTTCTGGTTATATTCACCCAGAAGTATCTTGGCCTATCTTAGCACCAAGAGACTGTTCCAATTATGGGTTCTTCTACTGCCCAGTTCTTTTTTAATCTCTCCTAATATTATGTTACTGCTGATACCGCAGAACGGCTCAGGTCCTACAAAGGGTGTTTTAGTTCCCTTCCTTGCGAGACTATTTGCAATCTCTTTACCCTGTACCCCGTTATGTCCCGGGACCCAAATGAGAGTAACTCTATTTTTCTCGCCTAGCTCATTCAATTATTCTAGGCATCTCCAGACCATTTTTGAGCTGTTTACGTAAGAGCTCAGCGCTTTGATGGCTGCTTGACTATCGGACATGATGATAATCTTTTGTCAATGATAGTTTCTCTTGATGTTAAACTGGATACACTTCTCGATGGCGTGAATTTCCGCCTGGAAGATGCTTGGATATTTTCCCAAGCTTTCGGAGTGCTTGGTACTCGGCCCATACACTCCTATTCCAGTTCCTTCTATGATTTTGCAACCGTCCG